AATAATTTAATAATGATTCAAATATAAGTCGGCAGTTCTAATAAAATCAAAAGAAACAATCAATGTACAGTTAAAAATATATTGTCCAGTTTTATTTTTCTGAAATAATCGCGAAAGGAAGAAAAGATATAAATGAAATTCTTAGTAAATTGGAATACCTGCATAGTCAATGTCCGAGGCGTGGTTCTAAATTCAGAAAAGTGTAACGTTTTCTCTAGTCTTAGACTACCAGGAATTCTTGTCTGGTCCATCGACAGAGTTGAGTCAACTTGCATACGTACACTACAAATGATGATATCTCTAATTAATTATATTTTCCGAGAGATATTAAGTATACGCAATATTTTCTGCAATACTTAAATAATGTAATGTAATTTCAGATCGAATATAAATATGAATATAAAAAAAACTGAAAAAAAAACTGCTGACAATAAGAAATGTTTAATTAGCACCACATCAATGTACGCAACGCACAGTAATTTACGCGGGACAAGATTATTAAGAGTAAAAAAACCAATACTTGATTTGATATTCTTTAGAAATGATCTGATCCGTCACTTGTAACGATCTGTCGACATACTGTCTGCTGAAACTTGAATAGCCATCAGCATATTCGCAATAACAAATGTCATGCCATTAACGCTAAAAGCTATCCCAATACGCATTTTCTTTTTCATCGGATTAATGAACGTTTTATCCGCTCACACGCGACATACATTTGAATTATTTTACTCGGGAATATTAAATTATATCATGAATATAATTGTTCAATGCTATAAGTCAAGGGCAAGGCCAAGGGCTGATGAAGGAGAAGAAAACAATTAATTGTATATAAGTAAAATTAAAAATCCCTTTAATACAATATTACTGTGTTCTAATAACTTTTTTAATGCAGGATCTTAAATTAATTTAAAACTTTGCTCAAGTAAGCTAATTATATGATAGCGAATCTGCGATGCAAGAATAAGGATAGGAAGGATATAATTGCCGTATATAATTCTGTGATCACGCTTATCTTTATTTTTACATTACTTAAAAATATACCGAAAATAAATTCTCTTAAGACGATTGGTACTTTTGGCACAAGTTCGTCCGCTAAATGGCGACTTTTTATACATGGAAATACACTGTAAATGTCACGATATGAATAAATGTACGTATTACAATCCGTCTCTTCGGACACGCGAGACGTGCGTGAAGTATATATCCACTATATTCCACTTCGTCCGAACGCGACTATCGTTTCATTTTTTACAAACATTCCATGGACGTAACTCGTAAGATATAAACGAATGTACAATTTGTTGAAAATCGCGATTCCACGTTCGTCATAGGAATATTGCTATATTGCTATACTATATGATTTATTGACTCTGTACTGAGTTCTAGCAAATCTTTGTAAAAGATATTCTCAAAATTCTTATTAGCAACAAATTTTCACTTGACAATTCGTTTAATAATTTTTCTACATTTCAATTTAACGTATTGAAAAATCACGTATTATACATCTTAAAAATCTCTAAATATGAAGGATTTGACTTTGAGCGATCGAGAAGAAAATGCAAACCCTGTCGTCCGTTAAGTCAAACCACGCGTAACTTTTCTCGTGATTCGTGACTAATAAGATATATTTGGATATGTGTTTTCTTCGAATTCTAACGAAATGATCGATCTTTGTTTCTCGGTATTAAAGATTACGTAGATTCGCATTATTGTAGGTTGGACATTGTCATTTGGTGGTGTGGCGAGCCCAGATTGTTCGCTGCATTTCGCTCATCAGGTCGTTGCGAGAGGGTAGTCGAGCACTCGTCGTGCGGGAAGGCGGCGGACCTGTGGATCGCAAGATAGTCGCCAAACCTCTCGGATTCTGCAAATTATTCTTATTGTCCTGCGTGCCTTGAACTATCAAACTTTGCTTCGTACTCGTTTTCTTGATCATGTCCATACGTTTGCCTTGTGGTGGAGGATCCAGAATTATAGGAGGAATTTCGGAAAGATCCAAGCGTTCTTGCTTAGCTTTAACGTCGGCCGACGGATGAGTCATGTTTTTATCATTAGTGCACGGTAAAGGTTTTATAAAAGCGTTGTCCGAATTATCCGTCCCATAGTTTTCGAGCTTGTGAGTCATGATCGGAGACGAGGAAAAACTGTTCGATTGAGAGACTCGCAGGGACGCAGAATTTGGCGATAACTGAGCTGAATTCTGAAAAGGAGATACTTGTAAAGGAGATGCTTTTTGAAAATTAATGAAATAGGATTTATAACGTTTTTAGCGTTAATTATAATAATAATTAATTTGTTAAGTGTTATAATAATAAATTAATTTGTTAAGTGTTACGTGGGATTTGTTTCTTTCTAGAAATAACATTGAATTTAAAATATATGACAAAAAATAAAGAAAATTTTATATACTAATTATTCATTATGAATAGTACGAAAATCATTACAGTTTTTGATAATTTGGCTATGTTTACGATTTATTTATGTTTTAAAATTAAAGCGCTTATATGTAAATTCAGCCTTGTGACAAAGAATACTCACCGTTGGTCCGCTGCACGGAGGTAGAAGTAGACTTGGGCCCATCGCATATGGCGACGGTGTATTATAGGGCGATCTCTGAGGCTGAAACGGGCTTAGATTGTGTAGCCTTTCCAACAGCTGCGTTTGGAACTGTAGTTGATCTGCGGCGGTGTTATTACTCTGGATTCCCATAGCGCCGAGACCACCGGAATACAGCGATTCAGACGGATATGTACAGTAAGGAAAGGTCGGTGGATCCAGTTCCCATGGCGAACTTTGGCCTCCGGTCCGTTGGCACTATCCGAGAATACGCAGTTTGGGGAACAAGATCTTTGAAGCCCATGATATTCAAGAGATACAAAATTGTCCCTCGTCTTTTCTGTTTTATTATACGTTATAGCTATATTATATAATTATATATATTTGTTTTCATAACAAGGATGATTCTTGATTATTTCTTAAGAGATGAATCTAAAGTTCAGAAGAGAAATATGTCATATCAATGTAGATCATACAATAGATGATATTTTCTGAATTACAATTTCAAAAAATTTTCTTGTTATACAGTAAGTATACGTATGTTCATTTTTAAAATGTTTTAAGCTCTAGATTTGATTTATGAAGCATTAATATATATGTATAATTAAGAACCATCCTGTATATATATTATAAAATCTTCATTTTTTTAAATCTGAATATTTAAATATATGCAAATTCGAACATAATTCACGTATAACTAACATGTGGATTTAAATTAATGTAGAAAATGCGAATTATCCAAAAAAATTTTATACATTAAAGATTCTTGAATCTGTGCATCTTTGTTCTCTTACCTCTTTCTATTTTCGGATATTTTGTTAGATATTTTGGAACCGAGCCATCTTTTGATGTCTGACTATGATCGTTTACACTGATAGATTTTAGTAATGAGTGATAATATTACCTAGCATTCGTTGGCAGCATGTACTCCAAAATCCCGTGCGAAGACCTGTTAGACAACACCGTCATACTGGTGCTTAATTTGTTATTAGATTAGTCGTATCTTAGTATGAAATTAATTTTTCGCAATTAGATACCTCGATGCAAATGCACGTGTAAGTAATCAAGAGACAAGATATATATCGCAACGCATTGCGTTCATCAAATCAAATCATTCGAGCAACGTACAAAACTCGTTCGCCCCCCCGATTATTTTTACCGATGTTAGTACAGATTTCGATCAGCGATCTTTCTGATTGTCGTTTTGTAATTTTTGCGCCGTGAGGGTCGAAGCGGAAATGCTCGCGCAAAAAATGCAAATAGTCGAAGCTACGGCTGTTTTCGCCGTCGACGTCTTATCGGCACCAAACGAAAACGCCTAAAACATAGTGCGTGCACCGCTAAATCATCAGGATGTAAAAGAAACATTATACAATCGGAGATACGCAAACACATTCGCCGTATAAAATGTAATTTAGGGGGAAGAGGTGCAAAATCAAAAGTGTGTATAAAACGTTTTATTATAAAGTTAAAAAAAAAGGAGAAATCGGTACAAAAGGCGTTAACGGTATTAAAATAGAGAAAAAGAGAGAAAAAAGAAGTACAAGATGCATTCTGTTAAACATTAATCGAGATGCAACGCCATTTCGGTCAGTCGGTGCTTCGATTCCAAACTCCACCGGAGCACTCGTGTCATGGAATTCGGTAGAGCGTTACCTGGCCGAGACCTGACAGGTCGGAAACCGCTGCATTTTGTTGCATGGACGCGGGCGTCGGAATTTGCGATTGCGAGGTGACATGACCACCGGAAACACGCTCTTGTTCCCTCAGATGGCCGACCAGCGCACTTATATGTTCTAGTAATTCCTTATTCTGCACTAGAAGTTGGTGCGTCCTCGCCTAAAATGAGAAATAATCGTATTCATAATTAAAGTAAAGTATCCCAACTGTCAAAACTTTTCTGTGTCTAATAATCGATGAACATTTCGTCAAGGGTATGTATTTTCTTTGCATTTTTATGAAGAAAATACACGGATAATATCGATAATATAATAAAATATGATAAAAGGATAGAAAAAGATAATAACGTTAAAAAAAAATCATTTTATGTTTGCTAAATGTTCGCGACAAAGAAAGATATTGTGATAAATTACGTTTCGTATGATTATAAATCATAGGTAAGTGTTGAAATATTTATGTGTTCTAGTAATTGATTCACTTATTTATACCTGAGCTTCGACACGCGCTGCCGTTTCCGCCGCCAGCTGATCTTGAAGAAGTCGCGCATGGGCAACAGCAGCTCTGGTTTGTTGACTCTGTTGCTCCAAACGTTCACGCAGAAGCTGTATTTCGTGCTTCAGGGCTGTTAATTCCCCTCCCACCAATAAACCTCCGCATTCGGAGGTCACCGTGCCCTATAAAAAGGAAACAAATAAATCGATACTCATAAATTGTGTACGTTATTATAAATAACGCAAGATACCGACAAAAGAAAAAAAAATGCAAAAACGAGTTCGTGCAAAGGGCACTATGTGTTAAACATAAAAGAATTACTTCAAAGTATACGAATTGAATTTTCATGGAATTCATAAGAAAGTAAGACAAGCTATTGCGAAATGGAGCGCATAAACGTCTTAGAATTTACGAGTTGTACTAGTGACAGAACTTGGAAAGTGGTAAACAATATGTTACCGTAAAGCAAGAGTAAGATAACGAGCTATTTTATTTTAAGGCTTTGACTTCATCGTAGCTG